TCGGGAGGCACCAGTCGTTCATGTCCTTGCCAGCTCCAGTCAACAACTTTGTTACCTAGTTTCTCCTGGTTTTTTTGCCAGAAGGTAGTTCTGGCCAGTTCTGGTGATGTGGTCAATGGTACGGTAGAGGACAAAAAGTTCCCTCGTGATGAGAGACGATGGTGTGCTGGTTGATGTCCATATAGCGGATGGCAGTCATCTGACTCTTGTATCTGCCGGTTGCTGCAATGTTGCTCCTACTTTTCCTCCTGATGTAAGGGGGCAAGCCTTGCCAGATAATGAGCATAGGCAGGGAACAGGAGTGGGTTTTAGGCAGCCTGTTATAATTCTGCATGTATCAAGTCAGAAGCAGAACACAAGGGCTAAGAGGTTTCTAATAAGGGAACAGATAGGGTGCTGGTAGGGGAGTGTTTATCTGTGATCCTGCAAAAACATATGCACTCACGTGAGTGCGAGGTTAGAAGGTGTTTTCTCCATAAGCCTCTTCACTGCTAAGAGAAAAAAAAGATCACTCAGAAAAGAGTCTTCTTCATCTCTTTTTATCCTCCCTGCTCTGCTCCTTCACTCTCCAGGAATAATTAAAGATTAGTTCCTTTCCTGTAGAGGAAATTCCTTCAGAACTGACTAAAGAACTCTGAATTATTATCCCTGGTTCAAGGGTTAATTATGTGATTTAATACAGCTGCAACCCAGAGGAAGGGTTTATTTTCTTTTCTCCGTACCTGGAGCAGTTGCAGTCCCCACTACACCAGTCTCCAGGGAGGAGAGAAGCCAGACAGTTACTTCCTGGTTGGTAGTAGCCATTAGACCTTGCCTAGCTCAGCTACGGCTAATGAAGTCACAGATGCAGCAATATTCAAACAGCAGGGTGAGTATGCCTTGAAGAAGGGTGAGTATGCCTGAAAGCTTGCAAATAAATATATTTTTTTGCAATTATCTAGCTGGTCTAATAAAAGATATCACCTTTGCCACAAGTTCCGATTCCTTTTGCCTGTAGTCCAGTATGGCTACAACCCGTATCTCAATATAGACCAACAGTGTTGTTTGTTTTTTCCACCCCCTCAAGGAACAGAAGACAATCAGGGATTTTTTTTTAGTGTAATTCCTTCATGTTGGTATTCAGTACAAAAGCTTCTGCTGTTTTTTTCTTTTTTTTTTATTCCATTGTATATAGTTTTCCCTCCTTGCTTCTGGGTAAAATCTCTTCCTAACTCAGCAGTTCCTATTCCTTTCCATATGAGGGCTCGTGTTACAACAGAAATCCGTGACTCCATCCCATCCAGCTATAAAGGGAGGGCTGTCTGGTACTAAAACTACTTGAATAGGCATCATTTTTTCTCCTTTTTGGAATTGCCAGAAAACTGGAAAAAAGCTGAGTTCAATACCCAACACGCCAATTACTTTTCAAAATCTGCAGATTATTTTGTTGTCTAAATGGGAGTTGAGCTTTTTAGAAAATATGGCCCTCAAAATCTGAAGCAACAATGCTAAATAATGACCAGCCTACAGCCACAGAGCAGAGATAATCCGGAGAAGCGTTGCTGAAGACCCTCATTACAAACTGTTCCAAAGGACAAGGTACCTCTGAGTATCCACCTCAGGAAACAGCACTATTATTCTTCAACAGCTAATAAAAATATTTTGTCCATGAAGTATGCCAGCCTGTGCCAAGCAACTGGCTTTTTTGAGAAATGCTCCAAACAGACAAATCATCAAAGCTTCCAGCCCATCCTCCCACCCCCTAATAGTCTCTTAATTTGGAACTGCGCTATACTATTAAGAGACTCCATCCACTTTTCAGAAACACAATATTAAGTGCATTTTGCTAGAAGTGTTTATTTATTTGTTTCTGCACTAAAGCTGCCTCTCTCCTTAGCAGCAGTTGTAAGAAAGGGGTTTTTTGTTCAAATCATTTTTTCTACCTAGCCAATTTCCTTGTCTGGTAATTCCCAAAACCCTGGTAATGGGGATGTTATCCCAGGATAAGAAGAAACAACTTAGAGAAACCTCCTCAATAAAATATTGACAGCCTGTCATTGAAACCTAGACAACAGAGAAAACCAATTCAAACAACAAAAACTTTATTTTTCTATGTAAATATAGCAGGAGACACAAAAGCTCTCTCTAGATATATGAAAGATTGTTACTAATTTTATTTTATTTGCCATTCGTGAACAAAAATGAACACACTTCCAGGTGTATTGCTCTTGTTTTAGGGGCATAGGTTGTAGCTGTGTTGGTCTGAGGACATAGGCAGACAAGGTTCTTTGGGTGAATCCGGTATCTTTTATTAGATTGGACTGATGACACATTATAACCTGCCTCACATCTGACTCCCCAGGTACCTATCTACTATTTACCTGCTAGTTTCATTCCCCTTCTCCCCCACAGGCTTGTCTCTCACCCACTGACTCCTAATTTACATCTTCACTGACTGCCTGTCTTGCATGCATACCAGACCACCCTCTGGCTTCTTTACTATTCATCCACTCAGGAAGAGCACCCACCAACTGCAGAGGCTTCCTCAGCCTGACAAAGGGATTTTAAACCCAAAAGCTTGCTAAGAAATTTTTTTCCCCCCAACTATTTAAGTTGGTCTAATAAAAGATATTAGATTTACACAAAGAACCTTGTCTGCCCTTGTTCTTGTTTCAATACTTATCACCTCCAGAGTCCACCAGATACCATTAATAAATGTCTCAAGGGATTTTTTTGGCATGAAGCAGTGAAATTCAAAATAGTACAGTTCATCAAATACTTCTGATTTCAAGACTGTAGTTATATTTGTGTGGCCCCAGGAACAAAATGGGTCTTTGGTGCCTCCTCCACTCATCTCACTGATGGATCCAAGCAAGTAGATCCCTCACCTAGGATTAGGTCCCTCACCTTAGGAAGGATCAACTTTAAAAAACAAAGAGGTCTGTAAGATTATCCCATGGATGGGCTCAGAAGTCTTCTAACCGGTGTAGCTTCTCAGCTGTGAAAGCCACCGCATCATTTAGTCAGTAAAGTTAAACAGGCTTCATCTGCAGTGACCGGCAGGAAACATACCATACTTACCTGAACACATGATGACTTTGAATTTAAGATGACTCTCCAATAATTAGATTTATTATTACTGAATTATCTATATATAGAATCAAATTATCAGTCACTTCAAATTCTAACCCCACCCCACACTGCTGCAGTGAGGAAAGCAGTGAGAGGGAGGAAAACAGATTAGAGGGGCGGGGGGCGGAAGGGCTGGCCTGACCCTGTGCTGCCTGTCTCCACTGCTGCCTGAGCCCCTTGCACCTCGCCCCTCCCTGCTTGCTGCCCCCCTCACCTTGCCCCTGCCACTTGTTCCCCAGCATCTGCATCCTCTGCTGCTGCTTACTCTGTCACAGCTCCAGCTCCAACTCCAGCCCCCACCCAGTCATACAGCAATAGTTGTGGCAAAAGCAGCTGCCACCACTGCCACTGCTGATGCCCACTTGGGTGGGGGCCAAAGACACCATGTGCCTCAGACACAAATCAATGGGGGGGGGGGAGGTCTTCCTCTTTATTTAGGCTGGTGGTTAGGTGAAAGATGAAGCAAAAGTATACTTTTAATAGTATTTCTGGCTTTTCTTTGTGGTTTTCTTGCCACATCTGAGCAGAATGGTACAGTAAACAGCTCAGCACAGCGCTGGCTTCAAAGCATGGGCTGATATGCTGTGAGCATGGTATATTTTACCCTTCATTTACAGCTTGCTGCTGTGAAACCACAAAAGTAATCGAGACTTACAGAAGTTATAGATGTGGGGAAAAATAAATGGCAGGAAAATCCCATAGCATTTGGGATGGTAAAAGGGAAATCACTACTGTGGTGCTCTCTTAATGGGAACAGCAAAGAAAATAAAATTAGGATATCAAGACAGTATTAGTGTGGCTCACCTGTAGAGAAAATTGCTACCCCATTGGACAGGAATCCTGTGTCACGGATGCTGTCCTTCTGGTCCTCCTAAAACGTCTTGTAGCATAACAATGGGTTTTACTAACCTTGAGTTCTATTATACCCATTGTTCTTCCCCCTCCATCCACAAAGTCTGTTGTCATCAAAAGAAATCAGTTTAGTTAAACATGACTTTCTCTTAACAACCCCTTGTCCGATGTTACTTATCACCTGGTTTTCCTCTAAATGCTTACAATCAGTTTGACTGATGATATGCTGCAGCATCTTTCCAGGTATCCAAATAATGCAAGGATGGGCTATGACTCCTGGTTTTGTTCTGGCAAAAAAACCCCCCGGAAATATGGTCCTTTTACTAATAGACCTCAACTTGCAAAATAATTATTTTTCTAAAAGCTATATTTCCACAGGGGGGTGAGGGGGGAGGGTTGCCTCCATAACAATACCAGCATGGCTTTCCTAACAAACACTTTCTAATGTAGTTTCATTTAATTTCCTGAATTCAGTTTTCTTCCTGGAATCAAAAAGCAGGTTTTTGGCTGATGTAGACTGCAGGGCTCCATTGAAACTGGGGTGTTATCCATCATCCTGCATTCACAAATACATGTAGACACATAGAGCAAAGTAAAATCATCTTCTGGCATAAGATAGAACATATATTGCTCAATGAATGCAACAAAACATGCCAGACAAGGTTCTTTGCGTGAATCTGATATAGTTTCATAGTTTCTAGGGTCGGAAGGGACCTGAGCAGATCATCTAGTCCGACCCCCTGCCACGGCAGGAAAGAGTACTGGGGTCAAACGACCCCAGCAAGGTGTTCATCTAACCTCCTCTTAAAAACCCCCAGGGTAGGAGCCTGCACCACCTCTCTTGGAAGTTGGTTCCAGACCCTAGCAGCCCTGACTGTGAAATATCGCCTCCTGATGTCTAACCTAAACCTACCCTCTGCCAGCTTGTGACC